CCCACCGAGATAGGCGTTCCCGACACCATCTCACCCTCCGTGGATAACCCATCCACTCCACTGTTCCTCTTCTCCTTCGTTTCAGTGTCCGTTTTACTTGCCTGTTTTTGTTTGTTTTGTGTTTGTTGCCGTTTCTTTATATTTTTGTTAATATGCTCCATAATAAATCCCACGAGTGGGGGAGAACTAAAGGTCCACCCGGGCAGAGATCCCCCATTACCCGGGCAAGCGTAAGTTTTTAACCCAACCGAGGGGTCCGCAGGTACCTCGGCTTGGAGTGCGCTCGAGACTGAACTTCCCATCAGCCATGCATCCCCTGGCCACGCACCAGAACACGGGATTCGGGGAATTTTTTAGAGAGGTTATCTTCCTCGCGGTCCGGGCGGTTAAGCCAAGACCCTTGCCCCCGATCAGAGCTGCGAGACTTAACCACAGCGCTCTTCTCGGGATTACGATATGCCGACGGTTGACAGGGAGACTACGTCCCCCTGCCTGCTCGGTGGTAGTGTCAGTACACGCCGAGCCCGTCCTCCTTTCTCCACCGCTGTCAGCGGAGAAACTGTGGCCCCTACAGGGCCCCGCCATCCGGTTTTTTACCGAGGTTTCCTCCTCCATGCTCCGAAGAGCGAAGAGCCAGCAGGGCAACCGGCAGACACGCCCACCCTGCTGGACCAGGCCTTGCCCGAGAGCCGATGAACGGCTTCCTCTTCTGCTAGAATATTAGCCGCTGGCGATAATCCTCTCCTCCAAGTGGACAAGGAGGAAACAGTGCCATCGCCAGCGTTTCCAGGGTGCACCACGGGGAGGTTTTCTAGCCTAGCACCCCGGCAGTGCCTGGCCTCACCCAACCGAGTCGTCATATTCTGTATCTGTGTCAAGAACTAATCTTTGGCCACGTTAAGTACACTATTGCGTAGACATAGATACATTGGTGACTTGGTGAGATTTTTAGAATTTGTTCTGATTTGAAAATTCGAACGAATCTGATCCATGATTCATCTGGGCAATGGGTCGTAAGTAAGAATAAAATAACTGAAGGACGGTAGGTACAGAGCGAGAATGTAGTAAAATTCAAAACTCAAGTGCGACTAGGACTCGCTCACTTCAGGAATAGAGTTTCGCAGTTTTTTCCGAGCTTTGCCCGAAATTCAGTTTCCCAAACCCAGGGCTGGATTAACCATGTCGGGGCCCTTAGGCAATGCTATGCCCAGGGCGCCTTTTCAACCGTTTGAAGATTATGAGCTCTTTATGAATGATGAAGGGTTGTGAGTAATAGCATCAACATTGCCTGGCTGATGCTTAAGTACTCAGGAACTTACAGCAAAAGTTTTATATTTGTGCTTACTTCTTTTGCAGATCTTAATGACAAGGTTATAGATAAGTGATGATCGAGGTGTCATTAGGTCCACTAGATTAGTCCACCTTCTTGAAAGGAACCTTTTCCAATACATCATTTACAAACGCCATTATCGACAATGAATTTCGACGACGAGACATTAACATGTAAAAGTTTCTTTCATTTCACCGTTGGTCTTTTACATGAAATCTGTTAGAAATCCAAACAGATAATAAATTTCCCGAGAAGATTCTATAATTCTACAGTATATTAGTACAGGCAAATATGTATTTTTTTTATTAATATTTTTCTCTAGTAAAAACTTCTTTTGCAAATCCGTCATCGTGATGCCTTTTAATTTTTCGTATACGCTGATTTTTATCACTGTACACATCACATTTGTTTTCATCTTGTAATCGTCAAATAATTCTCACTGTGACGGCCAAAAATCTAAAAGCGATTTCAAAAGATCGACTGCAGGTCGAAGTTCAACAGTTGGTTTTTGTAAAGAGAGAGGTACCATTAATTTGATCCACATAGTATGGCAGACCAAAATATTGCCATTACGTTATGTTCCTTTTTACCGAGTTCTTCAATCATGGAGCCTCATGGATCGCTTTCGATCTCATAACCAGCAATAGACTGGCTAGCTCTAGTAACCTTCTGAAGAAGGCTTAGTCGAATCGACTCTTGATGCTTTTTACAAGATATTTCTGCATAATTGCCTCGCGATGGAGTCCGAATCCGATGATCCAAAGAATGAGAGTGTTAACATATGAATGTAGTTAGCAAGATTATTTATTTTCTTGATATGGGCCTATAGACTATGGGAACAACCAGACATTTTGACGCATTATCGTAAGGCTGGCCTCTCACATCTTTTATACCAAGATTGATTGAAAAAATTAAAACTGTATCGGCAACTTCTTTCCCTTCGTGCTTTACTATTTAAATAAACGTAAAAAAACGTTCTGCTACTTCTCCATTTGACACAACATCACACGTTTCCATTAACGGATTACAGTCAACTAGACATTATAAGATGTGCCTGGTGTTGAATCAACGCTTGCCGAAAAATAATTGACTTCGATAATTTCTTACTTTCCAATATTTCAATGAGTACCTCGCAAATCGTTAAAGACAATATGAATGTCTTCCTTTCTCAATATTACCATAATTTGCTAATTGGTAACTAAGAAGCGGATCATACTCCGCGAGTAATTCTAAAATTTCCTTTATATTAAAGAACCAAGAATTTCATCATCACCACGAAATTCTAATGTACCGTACATTAGAATTTCGTGGTGATGATGAAATTTAATCACTAATACTTCTCTTTGTAAAACTATATCCAACATTTTTTTTTAGTGTTGAATGTCCTTCAATGACAATATTTTTTTTCGTTTCTTTCGTTTCGTGATTTCAGTTGGTGATAACATTGGGAAAAGATTTTGGTAAAATTAAATTCTTACAACCATGTGATTACTGCAGTATCCCATCACTATATTAATGTCATTATACATATATGGAAATTATACACCGAGGTACAAAGCTTATCACAAAAAATGAAATAACAGGTAACACGGTTCAATACACGTCGGTTAAAATAAAGATAAAAAATAGTACGAAATTACAGAAATGCAAATTTGGAACAAAATAAATACAACAAAATTATTGTCGAATTAGAACACCATTGTTAACATGAGTCGCTGAACTGTAGACGAAAACGTCGTAAGGTCGGCGACATTAAAGCGACGCCGCCGATGCGACGAGCCGGCGAACTTTACATTCTTATTACCTACCTACTAATCACTTACTTCACTTGCTATGTGAAACCAAAGTATTAAAAATACGATTTTATTGACGTATTTATTTCGAGAAAGCTCAAAGGCTGGCAAAGCGCTTGTGACTCCTGAGTTGCAGGCGTTCATGGGCGGCGACTGGAAGAGTCATCACCCGTCATGGGATCCATGACGGGTGGTGACTATTCAACGAGCACTTCCGACAGTTTACTCAAAAGCTGGTCGGCACGCCGAAGCGCTGCGTCTGCCCTTGGGTGACTTTTGCATAATTTGAGTGGACTAAGCATCGTGACAAGACGGCTGTATACGGTGGTTGTCTGTACAGTGCACCGGTGTGGACGGCGGCACTGACCACCCAAAATAGAGCGCACCTCTGGCACCCTCAGAGGGTATTGAAAGTTTGACCCATACGTGGTTAACGCACCATGTCGCGGCGTCACCAGGCGGCGTGCGCGTTGGCCTGGCCGGCACACCCCCGTGGGCACTCGGCTCCCGCCTGAAGAGGTATGCGAGGGCGCTCGCCGAGCCACGATGGCACTCGCCGATCCACGATGGCTAGTTGGTCGTCCCAGATGGAGGCTCAACGTGCTGGCTTTGCCGTCGTAAAGGTCACCAGCTGGTCGTCATTGTGTGGGCATGGCGACAGCACGGGACCATTTCCTTCCGACTGACGCAGGTCTTTGCCGGGCACAGCTGATTCTGCACTCGGTCGCTATGAGAGAATGGAGTCCCACCTGTCATCATTGCGATTGCAGTTAGGACTCGGCTTAGCACACGCTGGCAATTTGCCCGGTTTGGGCGTCGTAGCGTCGGGTCGCAGTGCAAAACATAGTTTCTGGTGCAACCAACGCTCACTTTTAGAGATGTACTAAAGTTTAAATTATAGTTGGATATTTAGATGCAACTCTTTCGTGATAAGAATTGTGGCTATATTGATATGAAAAAATATTTTCATAGTATGATCATAATAAGTAGATACTTTTTTACGGTCAGAAAGCGATGTTGCGGGGGCCCGTGGGTTCGCTACTCTTGCTACGTGGCTAATCCACAACTGGGAGGGGGACCCCACTTTCCTTTATACCACGCCTCAGCGTTGCTCCTTTAATTCTCTAAGTAGCTCAGTTTACTCACTATTAGTATTTATAACACAGATTTTTCCCTGTACTTGTAGTATAAGACGATGTTTCTTGTCAAATTTCATAGTTCTAGGTCAACCTGAAGTATATGGTTAAATGATTTTAATTCCAACTCGACAACTCCACAGATACATTAGACATACAAAAAAGTGATCTTATAAGGGTTCCGGTTTTTTGTTTTGGGGTACGGAACCCTAAAAATAAAATTGAAAACACCTACAAGGGTTTAGTACCTAAATATATGTATTGATCTATCACGATAAGGAAAGTCTATACAATTACGGGCCTGTTGGTCTAGTAGTTGGTGATCCTGACGGCTAAGCCTGAGATCGTGGGTTTGATCCCCACCTTGGACAAATAATTGTGTGATGACCACGATCATTTGTTCTGTGTCTGGGTGTCATAACCATACGTATTATAAATCAATCTATTTATAATACGTATGGTTATGGTTGATGGGGATGGTTGACGCTCGATGGACGGCAATGAAAATAAGTATGTTAATCAAAAGTCTGGTTATCATAGTTTAGGCTTTGCCTAGTTTGGGATCAGACGGCCATGTTGTGATATACGAGGTTATTATTATTATTAATTACAATTCAAATTGTTCTTATCGTTGAAACAAAAAAATATATTTAAAAGCTAATTAATTATGGTCGAAATTCGACCACCAAGCAAGTATGAGTAACTATGAAGTCTACAGCATAACTATTAACTGCAACTTACTCTGTGCATGGATACGATGTAAAATTAACGAGGGGCTTGAAGGCGTAGACCGGGACAGTTTTACCAAAAACTTGTGCTAACATGTGACGTGTTTCAGTCATACGACACCCCTGGTCCTCTGTACCCCAGCGTGTGTAAGTACTAATATGGTTACTTAATCCATCACGGTATACATAATTGTCTTTCTTCTCAGCGTGCATAGCATAATCCCAGTTTTCTGTTTTAGTTCTTGGTGGTGTGTAAATGTTTTTCGAAAACAATATTTGTTGGGGTTTTTTAGCCATAGGGTTTTTAGTTCTCATTTTGATAATTAATGTATTGAGCACGTAAATAACAATTCAAGGGTAAAAATTAGGTAGCTTATGATTCTTATTATTCTAGATATCTAATATTAGATAAACAAAATGTAAAATCGACTTACGATAGATGCCATAGATATGTAAACTAAGTCGTTGTAGTCATCCTGTGTGTCATGTTTTTTTTTTATATAAATTTATTGTATCTATCAATTAATTTTGATTAAATCCTTTTTTCATGAACCACTACTACTACTCCTAATATACTTCGGCAATAAGGTAGGCCCTTAGGTATTACGGCAGTGGAGAACCAAATTTAAAATTGGATTGAAAATTAGATAAATACATATTTAAGTAGGTATGTATAAGGCCAACGCCTCTAATTTTGCTATTAGTTGGTATAGTAGATATTTAGACACGTGCTTTGGGTATATGCTTTTATAATGTTGACGGCCCTGTTGGTCTAGTGCAAGATTCCCAAAGTGTTCGACCGGGGCGTTTGACTGTCGACGCTGTGTTGCGCCTCAGGATCGTGACCGAAGAGGCAGTGAGCCGTGGTGGCGTGCTGTTGGCGGTGTCGTTGGACATCGCCAACGCATTCAATAGCCAGAGTACCTGAGGCGGCTAGATGGTGCTATAGATGGTGTTTTAAGGCGTCGGCCTGTTCGTCGGTCTGTTCTATGACCCCTCCTGTGAAACATGGGTTACGACTGGGCCCTTCGAGGTCGCCTTCCCTCCGGGCTGGGCGTTATTTGTTCCGCTGATGACACGCTGGTTACGGCCCGATGGGCGGACTTTGAGTTTCGATGGTGGTTGGGCGCTGGGCTTACGGGTGGCCCTGGATAAGACGGAAGCTCTCTTGTTCCATGGGCCCCGTCGTGGTTCGCCCCCCGGCGTCTTCATCGTGGTCGATTCGGTCCTCGTACCGGTTCAGGCCCAGATGAAGTATCTGGTCCTGATTCTTGATGCGAGATGGCTCTTCGACGAGCACTTCTGACAGCTTGCTCCAAAGCTGGTCGGCGCTGCATCAGCCCTTGGGCGACTTTTACCCGATTTGGGTGGACGCAGCGTCGCAACGAGACGGCTGTACCCGGGGGTTGTCCCGTTGGCCGGAACCCCCCCGTGGGATTTGGAGGCGGAAGTGCTCGCCGAAGTATATCAGCGGACGTCCGATTTGCGGGCGGATAGTGGCAGTCGGCCCCCGCCCGAAGAGATACGCGAGTGGCGTGAGGCCGCTCGCCGAGCCACGATGGATCGTTGGTCGTCCCGGCTGGAGGTTCCACGTACTGGCTTTGCCGCCGAGGAGGCGCTCCTACCGGTTATCGTTGAATGGGCAGGGCGGCAGCATGGTACTCTTTCGTTCCGACTGACGCAGGTCCTTTCAGGGCACGGCTGCTTCGGGAAGTACCTGCACTCGGTCGCTAGGTGGGAATCGAGTCCCGCATTGCAGTGAGTACTCGGCTAGAACGCTATGCTTGCAGAGGGTTTAATTCATATTCATTTAACTGATTGAAAATCAGTTATTTCGTTCATCCATAGTGTTAGTTATTTCTTATGCTAAGTTAGTTATTTAATATGATGTCCAAATATTTAATAAGTAACCAATCGTAGTTTATCTAAACAGAGAGTTAAATAGAGACAGAGGAAAATATCAGGCATACATCTCTCTCGTTGCCTGTATGGCTTCCACTTACAATCAGCTGTACCCCGTTTCTCTATATGCTTGCAACATTTAAAAAAAATTGGTTATATGGAGCTGTCACTTTGGTTTCCTAATTAAAAATCACGACTAGGCTGTATGGATATTAATCTATGGTTCTATGCCTGCCCAAATAAAGTTCAGTCTGAAATAAGTTTTATTAATTTATTTTGTCTATTGGACTGAGACAAGCCAATAACTTTTGAGAGAACGAAGTCTGTCGGAGCAGTTGGTATCAAATAATTATGAAATTAGGTATCATAACAAAAACAAAATCCAAACTAAATATTTATTAAAATAGTTCTTGTCAGCCAATTGTATTAGAGCATTTTAGATTTAAAGTCAACAGGAGAACTACGTGGGGCCATCGCTACCGATATCCTATTTCTAAATTTATTTTCTCCCTCTGTAACTTTAATACTTTCATCAGCACACTCTAGGAATGCCTCAAAAAATTCAAAGAATGTTAATTTTATATTTAGATTCATTATGTGTCTGTCTTTACACAGTTGAGGGAATATTTTAACAAAAATGTTAATGATAGTTCTGTTCGATAAATTCGCAAAATTAAAAAGTTTTGAACTCGAAGTATCTTTATCTTCTTGTTCTGGAAGATTTTCGTCTGTAACAAAAAGTTGCTTTAATTCACTAAGTTTTTACACTTTGTAGATAATCCTTCTTGAAACAGCCTACGACAGAGTTTTTCTTTAAAAGTACTAAAATTAAAACAATGTAAAGTCCGTTAATCAACCATCTCTTTAGAAAACCGCCACAACGGTATCTCATTAATTTTCGTTTTTAGACGGTTTTTTACAAACGTACTATTGTATGTAATATGTAAGAATAACACACAAAAAAGTATTAAAATATGCCACATATTTTAATACTTTTTTGTGTGTTATTCACTCAGGTTTTAAACTATAAGTACAATTACTTATTTTCCGAGGTTTACCCAAGATTGTTCCTCTGGTGGTACACTGGCAGATAATAAAGAAAGATATCTCATGGATGTCCTTTGCCCATGGCAAAGGGGTCTGTGGGACTCTTACCAACTAAAAACCACCCTGGTGTTCCTCTCCACCTCAATGGCCGGGGGAGCGAAAAACCCAGTTTTTGTTACATTAGGTGCCTATGGACGTTAGATAATACAATACTAGCTTTAAGCTTACAATACTGAGAGAGTGGGGTGTTACTGCGTCATATATAAAATGTTAATTGTGTCAGGTTGCGAGGCCAGGGGTACAGCGGCTAAAATTTATCTTCTCTTCCACGGCACCACCAGGGGAACAGTCAAGGGTACACAGTAATATTTTTTGGTGAACTCGTATTGATAATTTCTCAACTGCGAAATAGAAAACATACATATTTGATTTTAGGATATAGGGGGTAAACGAGCAGACGGGTCACCTGATTAAAAGTCACTACCGCACAACACAGGAATCACAAGCGCTTGACCGGCCTTTGAGGCAGGAGTACGCTTTTCTCTTGACGGTTTACGTATGGATAGAGAATAGTCTTAGATACATCTTGTATAATTTAATACGTGGTCATTGTATTTTAACATATAGGTACTTACCAACAATAAAACTCATTTCATCTCCAAAAATATACAGATTGCGACCCAACGGAAGGTATTCATCAGGCGGATAGGTTATGGGTGGTTGGGAAAGGTAATTAATGTGTGGGGCTTTACGTACTGCCCTCAGAAATTGGCGAACAGTATGTGGCTCTCCTAAAGCTCGATATAACGTATATGCCGCTTTTAAGGGTACAAATGTGCCAAAACCATTTACCAACCGCCCTAAAACGGGTAGAAAATATTAATTTAGGTTAATCCTTTAATTAATTATGCAGTTGAGTGAGTAGTTACCAAAAAAATCCTATGAATATTAACGACAGCATGAGGCACCTCAAACCTTTAAAGTTGTACCCTGGAGACTTGAAGAAATATTTTCAAATCCATATATAAGCACCTAACATATTTTTTTTTTGGGTATTTTTCGTCCATTTACTGCGCACCGTACCGTACAAAAAATATGTGATCGACTATACAATGAGAACACATTTTAAATTCTTTTTTCGCCATGAACCATTGTTCTTTTTTCATGCGCAGTAAATCTTTGATAAGGTAGGTACATACGCCTTCTTTAGGAGAATGGAAAAAATAGACAACGTTGAATCTGTTAAACTCATACTCGTATTGCATATATTTGCATCATACCGTTGACAGTATTTTATGTCAAATATAAATATGACGACAAAATGCATGTCCCTACTATGTCCCTGCTTACCTCTATGTTGTTTGCAACCTGGTAGGATATCTTGCTCCATGAAATATCTAAATGCACATGCTAAGACTGTATCTGGCTTTGGACCAGGTAACGTTCGTTTGGCGTATAATTTGCTTGCAACTGAAATAAGGCTATGTACAAATTGCCAAAAGTATATTTTCTCAAATGGATCATGCGGATTCCTTGCTAGCCATGCAGGATTCTGATAAAACATACTATCGATGTCACATAGTGTCAATCCTTTTTCGTGTATATGACAATCATAATACAATTGCCATAAGTATAATCGCGTCATGATAGGAGTAAAATGAATTTCTTCAACGTTACATATCGTGGCATACTTGTAATAGATATTCTTCAAGTCAGTCTCGTAACACCTTAACGATTTGCGTAACGCATCCTCCTCGAATACCATAAGATCTTGGAAAAACTCAAGTTCTTCATGTTCTTTTTCACGGTGTTCGTCTTTAACGAAAGCAACGCGAGCTTGAGTGGATACATCTTTATTTCTACCAATTTTGTTATTTTCGATATAATCAGCAACTATACTTGATATTATTTCTTGTTGCTTATCAAAGTTCCTAAGAGCTTGCTCTACATGGTAAGAAAGGCCTACAGAACTGTCACATATATCAAATTGATGAGGTTCTACAGGACCCTTTGAATTTTCTGTATAAAAAGAGTCATTTGATGACATAGAAGAAAGATTATCGTCAACAAACATTTTTTTTCCTTGCAAAATGAGACCATTGTTAGTGACAAATTTTCCTGTACCGGATTTCATGTTGTTTACAAAATCTCCTTTGTAATATGAGCCCCAACCTAACCCGAGGCTTAAAACCCCTTGACCATTTCGTTGTCCTTTCTCCCAATAGCCTTGATAAGCCTTTAAAGACGGCACCGACATCGTGTTATTATAATTTGCTTCCCATATATAGATACCGTGACCAGACATAACTCCATTTTTCCATTCACCGCGGTAAAACTAAAAATTTAATTCAACATTTTTATTAGATGTAAAGTCATCTTACATTGTAATTAAAACAATTTCTTTAATTCTAATATTAGGTTTAAGATAAAGGAAGCGTAATGGAATGTATACTTTACTTCTTTACACAGTATAAAATGAAGTCGTTTTTTTTTTTGGTAGGTTTAGATCTTTAAAGCTACGCAACGGATTTTGATGCGGTTTTGCACTAATAGAAAGAGTACTTTAAGACACAGGTTTATATGTATAATCCTTACATATTAGATACATACATAATAGAGGAAATCAGATAATTTCAAAGATTTGTAATATAAAGTCGTAAAAAAAACATGTTATTGTGCGCTTAAATTGCAAACGTTGGCTAAACCTTACGCAATAGATCAAAATAATGTACTACGGAAATGTATATTTTATTTTCATCTATTAACGATTACAAACAATCAACTTGAATCATGTACACGAATTACAATGCACCTTATATACCCTTAAAAAAAACAAAAAATCCAACAAAAAAGTTTAGATGGTGGCGGAACGGAGAACCATTTCCTATTTGGAAATATTGGCAATGCCACATTTTCTGTCACATTCCGCAATGTAATGATATTGTGGCAACTTTGCCCATTGGCTTGTTATTGCTCCGGAGTGGCTACAAAGTCGCTAATTAAGCCCCGATTTACTTATAATACAATATATACTTATAATATAATATTATCAGATTCTAGCGATTTAAAATAGAAGCAAAATGTACCTATAGTATTAACGAATAAAATATCGCTCTATGTATTCGCTTTTCAGGGCCCCCTTGACAATTGGGCCCTGAGCACGGGTCTCGTGTGCCTTTATGATAAAGATGGTACTGAACATAGGTTAACCATGCTATGAAAGATTTGCCTGTCGACTTTAATAATATATGAGCTTAAAGTTAAAGACAAGGGTTAAAAAACTAATGAATTATCGGTATGAATATATCATGTTGTTTGGTATCGGTATTGTGTGGTGAAGATTGGCTGATGATAAGTGATCAATATGTAATTTTTGTTAACTCACGTCGTCATTGGGCCATATCATTAACCCTTTGCCTTCTCTTATATTTCTCTCCCATTCACCTTTGTATCCACTTGAAGTACAGTATTCTCGCGATCCATATCCAAAGCGTTCATTCTATGAAATTAATAGTCATAAATACTTTGAAATGGTTTTTCACTCGTTTTCAAACTCTTTCAAAACGATTATTACAACATGTTAAACACTGCTATGTAGCTACTGTGCACCCTATGCGAAAAAGAGATATTAAATAAAAGTTATGATTGTAATCGTTTTATAGACTGCTGATCTGTTTGATTACGAAGTAGGTACTGAAACAGGTACAGTTGTTGTTTTATTACAGATACGAGGGTGCGTTTTTAAGTTCGCGGAATGAGAGGGTTGGAGGGGGGTGATTAGGCTCATTAGAATCGTCACGTGTTCAGTGACTCATAATTAGTATAAATACCAGGTTTCATTGTTATTAGACAATTAGTCTTTGAGTTATCGTCAACCAAGCAACATAATCGGGAGTGAAAAGTGAAACATGGAAGAAATCGAATATCGTGCCGTTATAAAGTTCCTTACCAAGCAAGGAAAATCAGTTGCGACCATAATGAATGAGATGTCATTGGTTTAGGGCGACTCTTGTCCAGGAAAAACCATGGTGTACAAATGGCACAGTTTATTTAAACAAGGAAGGGAATCCCTTGAAGACGACCCGAGGCCGGGCAGGAGCATCGAGGTGATCACGCCAGAACTTATCCAAAAAGTCGAAAAAATTGTACTCGACGATGCTCGACTAAAGAAGAAACAACCATTTTTAGAATTCTGCATGATCATTTTGGCATGACAAAGGTCAGTGCAAGATGGGTGCCGAGAATGCTCACACCGACGCAAAAACAACAGCGCGTAGTGTTCACGTGCATTTTTAGACCTTTGTAATGAAGACGAGGATGCTGTATTGAGTAGAATTGTTACTGGAGACGAAACTTGGGTTCATCATTATGAACCTGAGTCGAAACAAGACTCCATGCAGTGGCATAAAAAGGGCACAGTACCTCCCAAGAAGTTTAAGGTGTCACAGTCAGCTGGGAAACTCATGGCAACGGCCTTTTGGGACTCGGAAGGAATATTATTGATCGATAATAACGATAAAGGTGTTTCTATAACCGGAGAATACTACGCTTCAATATTAGAGCTACTCAAAGAAGCCATTAAAGAGAAAAGACGGGGAAAATCGACAAAAGGTGTGTTGCTTTTGCACGACAACGCGCCCGTCCACAAGAGCCGCGTTGCGTTGGCTGCCCTGCATAAGGAGGGCTTCGATATTTTGAATCACCCACTCTACAGCCCAGACCTGGCCCCCAGCGATTATTACCTGTTTCCAAAAATGAAAAAAGAGCTGCGGGGTAAAAAAATTACCAACGATGATGAAGTCAAGGAGGCAGTTTCGGCGTATTTTGAAGACAAAGAGAAAACATTTTTTTATGAGGGTATAAACAAATTAATTGAAATATCTGAAAAATGTATCCGTCTTGCAGGTGAATATATTGAAAAGGAAAAATAATTTTTATTGTTAATAATTGTTATGTATTTAATTTTTAATTATTTCCACCCCTTATCCCCCATTCCGCGAACATAAAAACGCTCCCTCGTATATATGCGCCTAGTTCACAGTTATTGATTACTAAGCGCCCAAAACACTCCTTCAAGAAACTTAAAATTAGACCCGGTACGAGGTACTGTAATCTAGGTTCTAGCAATTATATATTAATTAAGATTGCAGTGACTCGATTTTAGCGAATTGGTTTTATTGTCAATATCGTTATTTTAACACAGCGTTGACCGTCAGGTCTGATCGTAGGTACGTACTATTAAAAATATACACCTGCAACCATCCACCGTCATATGAATTTTTGAAGTCTTTAGAATAGTATATAGCTCCTTCTCCATGTTTGGTACCGCGATTCCATCCTCCTGTATAGGACCTTTGAAGACGTGAATTTACGTAAAGGCCTTGGCCATGTCTCAGATTGCCCATGAACTCGCCCTCATACCACGTGTCGTCTTTCCACTGAATAAAACCTTTGCCACAAATTTCATTGTCTTTAAAATGTCCCTAAAAACGCCAAAAGATGAACGTAACATCAAATATAAATCTTAAAACTACACGAGAAACATTAGGTGCTGATAAAATAACCCATAACGTGTTTACAAATTGTTACGAATAAGAAAAGAGTACATATTTTGTTTAGATATAAAATTCGATTTAAAGGTTGACTTGACATTTATTTAATTCATGGATAGCCTTTGGATATATATATATTTTGAGTAGTTGATATAAATTCGAATATCAACTACTCAATATATATATATATATATATAATAGAAAGATGCTACGTAGCAAGTGGACGTTACGATCAAAGACATCATCTTTAAGACGATTTTCTCCGGAAGATTTTTATGTAACCTATTAACATCATTGTAATCTATTAACGAGTATACTAAAGTGATAAATTGATATGTACCTATGAAACATCGCATGTGGGTAGGTACTCTGGGTGGCTTATCAGGTAGATAACGTTCGTTTCCTGCTATACATATCTGAGATAACTTAAGTTCTTACTAAATATACAGTTCCATCTGCCCACTGAAGACGGCCTTCACCATGCATGCATTTCATTGAGATATTTCCTTCGTACACGTTACCATTACGAAAGCGTATTACAGCTTTTTCGTCCGGGGCCGACCACCATATTATTTGAGAATCCTATGAGTAAAAGATTTATTAATATGTGTTCAAGGCGTTTTTCTATAAAATAAAGCTGCTGGAGCGTATGTTTGTTTGAAGGCCATAACCTTAAATTTCATCATCATGATTAAGATTTTCATCATGCTTTTACAGTTTAATTAAGATTTAGTTTGTCCCAGTCAGATTTTGTATAAATTTACTAAAATACAACGACGATAACTGAAGGTGTTCGAACAGAATATGTAGGTAATAGTAAGTAATATAACACAAATAAGTATTTTATTGAAAAGACACAAACTGAAAATCCGTTTTATGTTAATAATAATTACCATATCTTTTTCGTAAAGAACTATTAAATTATTGTGCTCAATTATAATTACCCCCGAACTGCTAATAATCAAATTAGTAGATATTTATGATTGATTTTAATCGAGTCTTAAATAACGAAATTTGTTGTTGATAGTGGAATAACTGCGACACGATGGATGTGAAAGTGGCTGGCAGCGGATGGATGAGGACTGCGCAAGACCGGGAGAGTTAACGTTTCTTGGAGGAGGCCTACATTCAGCACTGGTCGACAATAGGCTGATGATGATGGTACTTGGAAGAACTGATACCCCGCATACAGAAAATATTATTCACTGGAAATTATTTTTCACATCAGGATTTTTGTGGTCAGGTTGTCAGATGGCGCCTGAAAAGACTGCTCATCTCACGCTTATTAAAAGCCAGCGCGGCGTTTCGTCCTCTCCAAACTCAAAGCCTCAGGCTCCGACTACACCTGCACTTAGTTTACTTTCATACAGACTTAAGCCTCGTATTGATTAGATTGTATGAAAAACAAGCAAAATGTGTATTACCTGCACAGTATCTGTTAATGTGAGTTTGGATCGGCTTCGTTTTGTTTTTGACGGTTTTGCTGAAAGGTGAACATTATAAATACTAACTTGATGATTTAAGACTTGAATTACTTTCTAAGGAGAGGCCTATATCTAGTAGTGGACTATTAAAGGCTGTTGATGATGATGATGTTACTGACGAAATTAGCTTACGAAGGATAGTAACTGTAAGTGTTTGCTATTTGGTATGACAAGTATTAAAACATGTAATAGCGTACCCGAAGCTTTCTTCTTTTTACCAGTTGATAAAGTGAACGTTTCACTTGGAACCTTGCTAATATCCAAGTTTAAGTAACTTTCTTCTTGTTTTTCTGGCATAATAGTTTCCCAGGATTCAACTATACTGTCCAACATAGATTCAAACATTAACGTTACCAGTTCCTTTTGTACTGATCCCTTGGGACGAGCAGGGACCACAGACGTAGATGATTCGATGTTATAAAGGCAAGGGGGTTGTCCTAAATATAAAGAAATATCATCGAAATCTTTATTTTTTCTATTAGTAATCAACGAACTATCACGACGAGTAGTCGTTCGTTGTGAATCCAAATAAAACATAATCGCTAACAAATTAAGACTACAGCGCAACTAAAACCTTTAAATATTAATGAATAAAATTAAATTTCTGTTGAGGTACACAAATATAGCGAAATAAATTAAATCTCATCATTGAAATATGTTTAAAAATTGACAGTTCTCTTTGTAGATACACTAATATTGACAGTAGGTATGTTTGTGATGTCGCGTATAATTTCTCATGTTCATCGAATTTCATAATTTTAAAAGAAGTCCGAATATAAGCAATCCAAATTTCTTTGATGCCGATACTTGTTTTCTGAGCTACAAATTTTTTCTAATAGACTATTCGTGAGGTTCAGGTACCAGGTATCAATAATCAGGTTATGTACCTATCTAGACCTGCATAACTCAATGGTCACCTTTTTACCTTTGTATTTAATTTTAAGTAATTTTATTACAGAAGGTCTTTAAATATTGCCAGTGTCCACCACCCAACGTTACATAGTTTCTGAGTAACAAAATATTGTTATTTAGAAAATAAGTAACATCGGGCATCTGGAATGTTGTTCTAATTGGTCCTCATTTGCAGTGTGGCAGTACGACACTGCAATTTCATGTATAATATAATATTAATCTAGGGGCACTGTAGTGCCCCCGCTAAGACAAGCCAAGCGAAGCGCAAGAGCACTACATACCTTTTTATTTTATTTATTATTTTATTTAATAACTTTATGCACATAAGTACAATGGCGGACTTAATGCCATAGGCATTCTCTACCAGTCTACCTTAGGGTGGTGTGGAAATGAGTGTGGAGGTGCACTACCCTTTGGTTGAGAATTATAAAGTGGACATAAAAGAAGTAATGTTAGCAATACTGAGCAAAAAGCAATGAAATAATATAAAAATACCAACGTATACATACAAGAATACATACATTCATATTCTTATATATTGTGTTATATATATACACATACATATATACCATAATATATAAAGTATCATAATTGTGATGATTCCGCTACATTCCGGTCAAGGAGAGCCCGCACCTTCGCCCTAAACGAATTACGACTGGTCGCCATTCTGATATCCTTGGGAAGAGCATTCCATAGAAGATTATTTGTAGAGCGAAGGGTTCTGTTATGATTGGAGCACAAGAACTGGAAGGAGGATGTCAATTATGTAGGCGAGTTAGGAGAGTTGAGTTGAGTTGAGTTGAGTCGTTAGTGCCCGCAGGTGACGACGCTGACGAATTGGGAGCCAATTTAATTTAAGACGAAAGGGGGAAATATGATCATATTTACGAAGATTAAAAATGAATCGAATGCAGTTATTAAGAAGACGGTCGTATTTGTTGAGGAGATCTGCATTCAGGTCGTAGTAGCACATATCACCATAATCTATAATGGGAAAAATTAAAGTTTGTACCAACATCGCTTTAATCTCGGAAGGTAAAAAATTATTTAGTCGGTATAACACCCGCAGGGTTCTTGTAACTTTCTGGCTGACATTAGTAACCTGGGTTTGCCAATTGAGGTTGTAATCAATGAACAGTCCCAAATCCTTCACAGTAGAACTTAGGGGAATGATTGAACCGTTAAATACTAGGGATGGTAGTTTTTCTTGATCTAGCCTTCTGGTCATACGTGGACTGCCCAAGATGATAGCCTGGCACTTTGTGGGGTTCACGGTCAAACCGAACCTATAGGACCAACCGCTAATAGTCTCCAGGTCGCCGTTTATCATGGCAATAGCCTCCGTTATATTATATACCGCAGCATTATAGTAAAGTTGCAAGTCATCAGCATAAAGATGGTACGCACATTGAAGATTCTAAGTGATGAGATTAATAGAAATAGAAAATAATAGTGGAGAGAGAATGCCGCCTTGGGTGAGACCAGAGTCAAGATCACACCATATGGAGGTGGATTCGTCGACACGGACGGACGGTTTGCTGGCGCCCTCGAAGATATGAAGAGAACCATTCCAGTACATCGGATGACATCATATGATAGGAAAGGATAGATAGAAGGACATCGTGACTAACGGTGTTAAAAGCATTTGAGAAATCAATCAAAGCCAACACGGTAACTTTGGAGTCCTCAGTTCCTGCCCGAATGTCGTCGGCCACTTTCAGGAGTGCAGAAGTTGTGCTATGGCCAGGCTTAAAGCCCGATTGAAAAGGGCTTAGTAAATTATTCCGATAGATAAATTGTGATAACTATTGATGTACACACGTCTCGAGCACTTTGGATAAGAAGGGAAGTATGGAAATTGGGCGTAAGTGATTTATAAGGGTAGGGTTAGAGACCTTAGGGAGGGGTATTACAAAAGCACTGCACCACAGTGAAGGGAAAGTCCCTGAATCGAGTGAATAATTCACTACATGCGTAAGCGCGGGAAGGAGATGTTCGAGGATAGGTGTGATCATACGACGGTTTATGTTGTCACTTCCCATGGCGTTGGACTTAATGGAGAGGATTATCTTTTTTATGTCATCTGATGCAACTGGAGAAAATTGAAAGGAATTAATATATGGGCGAGGAAGGTCAGTCAGGTACTTTAAGGTGAGACACTTTGTTTGGTGATCAAATTGCGGAAGAGTGGTGAAATGTCGGTTAATGTCATCCAAATCAAAGGTCGTTGAAGAGATACTTTTCCCGGATTTACCGATGCCCAAGGTATCGAGGAATCGCCAGATTTGGGAAAGCGAGGAATAATTAAGGTTTTGAATAATATGGCAGCGTTAAGCATTGCGCACCACCTGATTACACCGATTTCTTGCAACTTTATAAAGAGACCAGTTTGCTTCGCTCCTGTTTTTCCGGCATTTTAGGAACCCTTTTCTCTGCGTCTCATTGCCTCACGGACATCCACTGACATCCAGGGAGCAGGAGAGCGTTTAATTTTATTTTTACGACTGGAGCGTTTTGGTCATAGAGGTCAATTACTAAATTATTAAAAATGCGAACCTTGTCGTCCACTGTAGACGCCTCGATCAGGGGCTTCCAATCTAGTTTTAAGGCATCGCTGCGTAGTTTGTCTTAACTCATCCGTCCGAAACAGACCATTAATATTTCATCGGTCCATTAATATTGTGATGTGTGGCTGACAGTGGCAGCACATGCAGACAAGATGATTCGAAGTTCTTCTTTTTTCTCGAAGTGCTTCGTAGTTTTTTTTGAACCCTCATAACGTGGGTTTGGATTAAAACAGATACCTACATAAAATTTTCAGGATGTAATGTCAATAGTGGACTTATTGAACATATAAAGTTTCAAATTGCATAGCTTTTACTTTTAGATACTTTAGATTTTATTGATATAAAAAAACCCCGATTTCGTCACCGAGCCCCTGATGATCATCAATATTCTTAGGGTACTTCCTGGAGTCCTAGAAAGCTGATATGTGGTATGTAAGCCCATGTGCAGGTAGCGTTTGTGAAGATAGGACTTAGAGAGTTATGTAAGGCGTAAGAGTTAGAAGTTTAGCTCTACATGAGATCTGATAACTTTTTGCCCTTGGCAATATTTTACATGAAGATGTTTTGTTAGGATAATATAATTCTATATATAATTTGACAAGATCTTTTAAGAGGGAATGAAATTAAATATATTTTCATATGACCACGCCTCGCTATGTTATTATGGGTGATATCTTTTAGTGAATCGGTCAATTCGCTTTTTCTTTTTATGAGTAGGAAATTGTTAAAAAAATAACGAACTCATTTAATACATTTAATGATAAAATTTAAATTGATTGCTAACTTTGAAAATAAATTTTACTTTATTTTTAAATTTAGGTCGGTTGTGGTTCAATCCATGACGTTCACCATGTTCGCTCTCTTTGTTGAAAGGAGAGTGCGTTAACTTCTTGTTAAACGGAGATAGACCTAGGATAACAAAAACAATGAAGTGATTTAATACTCACTTGCTCCATTAAACATAGGTCTAAAAATACTACAGTCTAACCCCAATTTTGGAATGGCCTCCAAAGCTGCCACAGGCTAGTCCTCCATCATGATCACTGGATTCCACTGAATACGATTCCATTGTCTTATCGGATGTACTCGAATCTTCATGAGAAAGATTTAGTGTAAAATGTTTGTCCCCCAAACAAACACTGCTGATGCACATTATCGCACAGGAATCTTCAAATAAAATAACGTATAAGTAATATTATTGTTTTCCGCCAATTCAACAAAAAACATTTAAATTAAAAAATACCTTATAACTCATTTTTAGGTAGGTACTAAAACGCTTGATTACAGCACGAAGTTCATTTAATTTCTAAATGTGAATTTTTAGAACATATACTTATATTGTGTATCTATTTCAATTTCCCTGATGTAGAGCGCAGTTTATAGCCCAGCGGCCTACGAAAGTATTTTTATTAATGCAGCAATTAAGTACACATAGTTAAGTGGGTACGCAATGTAACTACTTACTTGGTTACTACTTTTTAAAAGTAGTAACCAAGTAGATGACTGCAGTGAGGACCCGATGCTGCGGCGCCCAAGCGGGGAAATTGCCAGCGTGTGCTGAGCCGAGTTTGGTGATTTCCAATGCATTGGAAATCACCAAACTTTTCCCCTTCTCATACGGAGTTATTTTCAAACGTGTTGTGAAGTCTTTCCTTTTTTCCCTCAAAGTCTGAGGTTTTCATTAAGATATGCAGTTTATTTTGTTCCAAGGACACTTGCTAGAACAAGCTTCTTCATGTGAGCTTTTATCTACAGATTTGGTTGAGTTAGAGTGGAAAAATTTAATTTAAACTTAATGCTGCAATGTTCATCAAACAAATTTAATAAATAAATATTTTCTATTTCTCCGCATTTCCTATATAGTGGTCATTGTTCTTTAGTGTTCAAGTGTTGTATAATGTCCTGTTGTGCCAAAAAATTAACCATTTTCTCATTAATGCATATTTTCAACTTTTGTCAACAAGTCCTCCAAGTACAAGACCCATTCTGCTGACTTTTTCGAACAGTACACCCATCATGTACCATGATATTTTAAACAGTCCAGTTAAACTTTTAAAC